GCGTGGCGGGTCGGAGGACGGGAGCGGGAGTTGGGGCGATTCCGAGCGGAATCGGGGCCCGCGCTGGCCGCGGGAGGAGGAGCGGGGTCTGGGGGAGGGTATCGGGCACCAGTTTGGGGCAGGGGCTCTTCCCGGGGCCAGCCCGTCCGGCCTGAGGAGGAGGAGGAGGAAGGCTGGGGAGGAGCTGGGGGTGACAGTGTCGCTCCCCGCAGGTGCTGGCGGAGAAGCGGAACCTGGGCGGCAAGGACGGGCCCCCGCACCTCGTGGCCGTGGTGCCGCTGCACGGGGCGGCCGCGGTGCCCGACGCCCTCCGCCTCCTGCAGAGCCAGGACGGGGCCGCCGTGCGCAGCAGCGACGGGGGAGCCGCGGGCTTCGTGCTGCTCTGTCCCCGGCTCAAGCAGCGCTGGCGCTTCGTGGTCGCGCAGGCGGGTGAGGAAACGCTGGTGTCACCATGGGGTTTGGCTCCCCGGCCTCGGCAGCCTCATGGACAGAGACGTTCTGTGCACAGGGGATCTTCACGCTGTCCTGGACCTGGCGAAGGTTGCGGATTCCCTCCTGTTCCTCTTGGATCCTGTGGAGGGCTGGGACAGCGTGGGGGAGCGCTGCCTCTCCTGCCTCTTCGCACAGGGGCTCCCCAGCTTTGGTGAGTAAGCGAGGAACACATAGACTTCTAGAGGGGCCGGGTTAAGGGGGTGCTTGGGGGTGATTCCTGTTGCAGTAATTAAAAACTCCACATGTTGGCAAGTGATTCTGTGAGCACAAGTGTCTCACCGCCCTGTTTCGAAGCGCAGATCCATTGGGCAAGTGCTCTTGCCCAATGCTGTCGTATTCTGTGTTCTGGTGATGGTTTCCTGCGATGATCGTGGGCCTTTTTGAAAGGGTGAAACTGCTATTTGGTTCATTTGAGTTGCAGACATTAGAATTTGTCTTCTTAATCTTTGGTAAGATGGGAACGAGCAGGCTTCTGTCCTGATCGGGGGCTCTGTGCGCTCTTTGGTAGCTCTCGCCGTCCCAGGGGGCACCGACTTGCCCCCAAAGAAACGTCTGGACGCTAAGAAGAAGCTCGCCAAGGCTGTTGAGAAGCGTTTTCCGGAGGCCAAGCTCTTCCCGCTGAACGCGGAGCCGGAGTCCTCGCTGCTGCTGCGGCACCTGGCCGCGCAGAGGCAGCGCCGCGGCGCCTTCCGCGCCCGCCGCGCTCACCTGCTGGCCTACGCCGCCCACTTCGTGCCCGGCCACGAGAGCCCCCTGCTCGGCACCCTGAAGGTGTCCGGCTTTGTGCGGGGCCAGGCGCTGAGCGTGAACAGCCTGGTGCATATTGTGGGACACGGAGACTTCCAGATGAGCCAGGTGGAGGCCCCCCCGGACCCTCTCTCTTTGAATCCCCGCGTGGTTAAAGGCCAGAAGCGGAGTCAGGACATGGATATACAGGTGGGCTACTGGCCAGGTTTGGCCCGTTAAAACATGACGTTTTTAGACTTCCATCAAGAGAGTAAGATGGGGCGTGTGTGGCCGAGGGGAGTTGCATCAAGGGGGCGGTAAACTCGTGCTCTGCCAGCGAGCCAAGGCCTCCCCGGGCGCAGCATGTAACGAGCACAGTGGTGTCACCACATAGTGAGTGTTGTGCTGAGGGGGGTCTATGCTCCGCTTGTCAGCATGGGGTTTGTTTTGGTGGTGAGGGACTTGGGGAAGGAGCTAGTGCTTCACTTCCAGTTGGTCCCTAGACTGAATTGGGTGTGTTCCCACTTGGAGACTGTTCCCTGGCCTTTCAGGATGATTCTCTGAACGGTGCTGATGAGATGGAGGAGGACGTGAAGGTCCTGATGAAGGCAGATGCCAGCAAGCAGGAGTCTTTGCAGTCAGAAGTGGTCCCAGATCCCATGGAAGGGGAGCAGACGTGGCCGACCGATGAGGAACTGAAAGAAGCAGAGGGTGAGCAGTGCCTGGGTGTCCATAGCCTTTCCGTGTCCCCTTAGGGTGTTGTGACAATCCCTGTGTCCCTGGGGTGGCTGAGGGGACAGTGAAGAAATGCACTGATCTGGGACCGTAGCTCCTGGTGACTTCCCACTCCCGCTGCGGGGCCATGTGGCTTCCCGGTGTCACCTTGTGTCCTGGGAAACAGTGGCTCTCGCCTAGAGCAGCTCTTGGCTCTCCTGGGGTTGATGCTGTGGAGGGGCAGGTTCCTGTATTGATCCCTGGAAATCCCACAGCTTCGCTGAAGGCCAACAGGAAGGTGGTGAAGGTTCCCAAGGGCACATCCAAGTACCAGGCAGCCTGGATTGTAGATGAGGAAGAGGACGCTGAGGAAGATGAGGAGGAAGAGGAAGATGATGACATGGATGATATGATGGAAGAGGCAGCTTCCCAGGTACCTTCAAGAGCTGATACTTCAGGTCATCTCCAGGCCACTGCTGTGTGTCCTAGGACAGTCCTGTCCTTTGAGCGTTTGCCAAACGTGCAAAACAGTCAGGACCTGCCTGGATTTCAGAGTTAAAGCTCTCAATCCTGTGCATCGTGTGGCTGCTTTGGCCTGTTAGCTGCCAAAATGAGTGACTGCAGCGTGGCCTGGCCTGTGTCTTGCACTGTGAGTACACGCAGGGTTTGCAGCGCTGCGTGGACGTGAGCGGAGTGCGGGAGCGGTGACGGACACTGCTGTCCTCTGTGTCAGGAGGAGGAAGGCAGCGAGGAGGAAGAGGAGCTGGCGGAGGAGGAATGCGAGACCATGACTGTGTCCGAGTGCGTGCGCGACGAGCACTACGATGAGAAGATGGAGGAGGACGAGGAGCAGATGCTGGAGAGATACAAACAGGAGCGAATGGACGAAATGTTTCCGGATGAGGTGGACACGCCGCGTGACGTGCCGGCCCGTGTCAGGTGGGAATCTGCCCTTTGCTGGGAGCGCAGCGGAATGGTCCCTCTGTCTAGTTGAAGGAAGTAGGGCAGGAAGCCTGTGATGTCCTAGCCATGATGTCTGTTTCTGGCTGAAGGCTCTTCTGAAGACTCTCCCTTAGGCTCTGAGGCTTCCAGGGGAGGTGTTGGTGTGGGTAGTGGGTGGCCTGGGCAGCTCTCTGGGGAAGGGGGAGCTGGGTTCTGGCCTGAGAAGGGTAAAATTTTCTCCCTTTGCCTTCTGTGAGGAGGTGAGATCTTGAGGAGCATGGAAGGGGCTGGCAGGACATCTAGACTTGTAAAGTAATTTCTTTCCTGTTGTCTGTCCTTTAGGTTTCAGAAGTATAGAGGGCTCAAGAGTTTCAGGACTTCTCCATGGGACCCCAAAGAGAATCTCCCAAGGGACTATGCCAGGATTTTTCAGTTCCAGGACTTCTCCCGAACTAGAAAGCACATCTTCCGGCAGATAGAGAAAGAGGAGGCTGAAGGGGCTTCGGTAACTCCCTTTGCTGTTGCTGGCCAGTCATCTTTCCATCTCTGTCTGTACTGTGTTCCCTTGCTCCTGGGAGAAGAGACTTGGCAGGGAAGTGGCTGCAGGGTTGATCATTCAGCCAGCTGGTTCTTAACCTGAAGTCAGAAGCC